ATGAGGAGGCAACTGCGTCGCCCTAGCTTTACTAAACACGAGAGCTAAATCCCCATATTCAGGCGGAATGTGCAGTGCGGGCACTTGGTTTGGACTTTCCACCGAAGTCGCCCCTACGGAAACACCCAGACATCGCCCCTCACACTGAGCAGACCACCCATTGAGAGCCCTCTGTTGCCACGAAATAGCAGGGTTATGGGTGCTTAACCAGGGAATTCCCAGCACCACCGGGTACGCAGGAGAGTCGATCAGATACAACTGTATAGTCTCCTCATGACCCCCCTGCGCACACATCCTAAGTGGCGCTGTGACTTCCCTAATCAACCCCGACCCCAACGGGCGGCTATCTAAAGCATGAACGGGAAAAGGCTTGTCAACAGGTAGGAGAGGGATCCCTAAATCTAAACAAAACTTCCGATCAACAAAATTCCCAGCTGCGCCTGAATCTACTAGCGCCTTATGCTGGGAATGAGGTGCAACCTGTGGAAAACAAACAGGTATACAAAAGTGCGCAACAGAGAGCTCTGGGTAAGTGGGGCGTCTACTCACCTGGGAAGGCTCCCCAGTGCGTGGCCTGTTGTCTCCTCCCTCGGGGAACCCTCCCCAGCACCTGGCCGCAGTGTGCCCTCCACGACCGCACTTGGTGCAGGGGACAGGCCCCCTCGGGCTCCTCCTCCTCCTTTCTCTAGCGCCAGCACCCCCGAGCTCCATAGGGCTCGGCTCGGAGGTGCCGGAGGATGGAATGGACAGACCCCACTCGGGACGTCCACGGGTGGCCAGCAGGGTGTCCAGACGGATGGACATATCGACCAACTGGTCGAAGGTGAAATTGGTGTCCCTGCAGGCCAACTCACGTTGAACGTCCTCACGTAGGCTACATCGAAAATGGTCGATGAGGGCCCGTTCATTCCACCCTGCGTCTGCTGCTAGAGTCCGGAACTCCAGCGCGAACGCCTGTGCGCTCCTCCTCCCCTGTCTCAGGTGGACTAGACGCTCCCCCGCCGCTTTGCCCTCAGGTGGATGGTCGAACACGGCCTTGAAGCGACGGGAGAACTCGGCGTAGGAGATGGTGGTGGCGTCCATCCTCCTCCACTCGGCGTTGGCCCATTCCAACGCCTTGCCCGTGAGACAGGAGATGAGGGCGGAAACGCTCTCGTGTCCCGAGGGCACCGGGTGTACAGTGGCCAGGTAGAGCTCCACCTGCAGGAGGAACCCCTGACACCCGGCAGCTGTTCCGTCATACACCCTCGGGAGCGAGAGCCGAATCCCACTGGGTTCCGGACCTGGGACTGGTGGACCGGCCGATGGGGGTGGCAGGGTAGGTGGAGGTGTGGGTACCCCTCTGGACTCCCATCGGTGCAGGGTGTTGATGACGTCCTGTAGAGCGGTCCCCAGTTGTCGTATCTGGTGATCCTGGCCGTGGACATGCTCCTCCAGCGACTCAGGCGTGACTGTTGCTCCTGCTGATTCCATTATTAAAGGTGTGTGATTCTGTCAGGGGTGCTGAAGGTGGGTGTGGTGCAGGAATCAAGCGCAGGACGCAGAAGCTAAGTCCAAAAGACTTTAGTGAATTATTCACGTAGTAAGCGAGCACAATAAGCCCGGAGGCGAAATAAAGGCGCACACAGGCGTCAAACAAAAGGCGCACTAATATGTGCGAAAACCTCTCCAAACAACGGAGGGAAGTACGTAGCTCAGAACACCAAAACAGAAGAGCAATCACACACAACACCATACACACACAACGAGAACTAAATAGGACACTAATGAGGACTAACTAGACACAGGTGTACAACATCAAGACAAAACCAAACGAACATGAAACATAGATCGGTGGCAGCTAGTACTCCGGGGACGACGACCGCCGAAACCTGCCCGAACAAGGAGGAGGAGCAGCCTCGGCCGAAACCGTGACAGTATGTAACTACTCAAATTCATCCAAACTGCTACGGACGCAAAAACTGACTTATATTCACTTGTCCTATTCTTCAGCATTGTCTGGAATATGTATTTTAGTTGGCACACCAGTGTGATGTCTTCTTTAAATATATAATTATATATTTTAGCCCCTTTTTCTCCCCAATTGCGAGCATTTAACACAAGTCAACCTGCAGGCACCCGGCCCGCCATAAGGAGTCACTAGAGCGCAATGAGCCAAGTAATTCCCCCTGGCCAAACCCTCCCCTACCTGGACGACGCTGGGCCAATTGTGCGCAGCCCTATTGGACTCCCAGTCACGGCCAGTTGTGACACAGCCTGGGAACGAACCTGGGTCAGTAGGTACGCCTCAAGCACTGCGATGCACTACCTTAGACGGCTGCGCCACTCGGGAGGCCTGTGTGATGTCTTCTATACATGAGTAAACATTTATTCACCCTGGACATGAGACTTGCATTGATTTGAAACCTTTTTTAATCATAAGCTCTAACATGCTAACCACACCACTCGCGTCGCGTGCACGAGCGTTGCAAAATAAATGTACACATACATATTATTCAATCATTGCACCCACACTGCTCGCGCACGTCAACGAGTGTCTGTGTAGCCAGGTGCTAAAATAGAACTTGGTTCTATTTGTGATGCTTGATGTGCTGTTGTCCCGCCTCTCCCATCTCCTCATTGGTTTTTAGGAGCACATTCCCACGTGTGTGATTGAAAGATGAACTGAGGTACACACGCCAGACCAGTTGGTGGGGGTAATGCACCTTAAAGTTGGTTGCCAACCGCCATATAAAGTCCAAAGAAGAAGAAGAAGCATGAAGGAGGAGAGATTACTAGAAACAAACTTTGTTTACCCTTTTATCTGTGTATTAATTGTCGGAGTAGAGGACCATGTGCATTTCAGGTAAAATAACAACCAAATGTTTATGTCCCAGGACAAATTAGCTAGCAACAGCAAGCTAGCTAGCTAAATTGAAATAAACGTTTAATGCTTTTCGACCTGTACCCAAATTAATATATTTGGTTCAGAGTTCGTTTTGATATTTCAACCTGCGTGACTCATCTGGGAATATGGCGATGGACACTTGTTAGTTTTTTATAAAATTCTGTGAGACTTTTAGGGGGAGGGTAGAGCATGAGTTTGAGTGAGTACAGTAAATCCAATCCAACCAGTGGCCTGGGATAATATGCTATATGTCATCACACAGACAGACAGCCATAGTGAAGGAGGTTTAAAGTATATTACCACCAGCGGGGCTTACTTCTCTGTGCTCTGGAGAGGTCGCAAGTAGATGATCAGAAGGCTCTGGAGGAATATTCTGTCTCTGTAGAACCTGTAGTGAGATGGATAGAGGTACTGAGTGCTCTTGAAAGAGAGAAAGCAAGACAGTCAACATTTATGTTGTTGATTATTGAGGACTTCAAGGGTGCCTTCCAATCAGACAAATGGCTGCGTAAAAGATGCAGCAACTCAATGGTTTTCAATGGGAGGAGTGTGTTGGGGGATAGGCTTGTGTTGTGCTGTCCATCAGAAAAGTTGCAAATACTATCCATCAACCAAATTAAAAGTAAAACTGAGTTTTTCCCCATCAAACAGCTGCATTGGACATGCATTTCATTCATTTTGGTATGAAGGCAGCCTTACTCTGTGGTTCAAGTTGTATCTTCATGTCTGTAACTTTGCTCTCATCTCACTCCCTCTGACCCCTAAGCCCTCACCACTGACCTCCCATTGGCCCAGGGCCTCCTGCCAAATCCTCTAATCAGTCTCTCTGACAGGGACTTACTCCAGGAGTAGACAGGTTTATGGTGCATAGGGCTTCTCCACTCCTCATATGAGTAGAGCATTATTTAAAAAAATATACATGATTTACTGACACTGACATGAAGTGCGCCATGTTCCTGCTGGTAGCAGGCCTAAACCTGGATGCAGGGAAATGTCCTGCCTTGGAAGATGGTTGTATCCATCTTCTTGTATTCCAGGATCCTGGAAATCAGATAACAAACCTGCATAGATTAACAAAAGAAAATGCTACATGTACTATTTAGTCAATTGAAGTAGTGACAGTCACAGGTTATTTACACAGGAGTGTACAGGTTTTTGTTCCAGCACTTCACTAACACCTCATTCAACTAATTGTGGTCTAAAATGAACAAAAAACGTGCACACAATTCAGTCCCCTGGGACAGAAATCACCCATGCCTGTAATAATGAATGAACTTCCCAAGTTACAAGCTAACAATTCTGCATGCTAGAAATAGATCCAAACATATTATTCTATACCTAAACTTGTGAATAAACTCCAAGAACAAGATGATTTTCCTGGTGGCCGGGAGGTTGTGAAGTTCTTTACATCTGCCAGGGTGTTAGGGGCTGTGCTTTAACCTGAGAAGAACAGAGCAGAGACATAAAGGGGAAGAAATTAACCTCACTGCTCAAATTTCAGTGCTGGTTGCTGAGATTCAAAACTACCTTTAATGTGCCATCATTTTGTAAACAGTTTTACATATTCACCTGTTTACATTTCACTGATAATTCCATACTTCAAAACATTTTCTTTACAACAATAGCCTAGCTACATAGCTAGTATATTCGCTGTGAAATCAGGAGGGGCATTTTTCTTGCCAACTTTTTCAGTCACCAAAAATATCAATAAACAGGCAGTGGAATGAAGTAGTTTGACGAAAAGTGTTCAAAAGTCAGTAACAAGTCTTTAAAATAAAGCTAGTAAATATATAGTTATTTTCTAGAAACCTAGATAACATTAGCTGCAGTGATGATGGTGGGAGTTAGCTCTAGCTAGCTAGCTTTCCCCTGAACCAAAATCTGGCTTTACAGGAGACGGTGATATGGCGAATCTCCTTTAAGCCCAGGAAGCAGCCATTCAAATTGCCATTCACCAGCTTTTCAAGCTTAATAATGGCAAAATATGTTCGTTACTCACCAAATATGGAGTTTTGATTAGCAACTATCGATTAGCAACTGTCCCCCAGTAAAGATTTGAACTGTCCCTTAGAGGACAGAAAATATAACAAAGCAAATAGTATGTTCATATAGATTATCTTACGAAAGTAAGTTTCACTCTACCTTCAGGCTCAGGATTCAAACACTCGTGAGGCCCCAGTGCGGGGTCAGAGAAGCCATTGCATTTGATGATAGTGGCGTAGCGGGCAGGAGAGCTCTTGGCTACGCGTGGAAGTTTGGGGTCAGAACGGTTCACAATGAACAGGCCAAATCTTTCAGAATACCCTGCAGCCCACTCAAAATTGCCCATCAGAGACCAGGCTGTGTAGCCTCGAAGATCCACCCCATCCAGCAAAGGTGCTGTAAAGAGGGTACAAAACATATAGCGAATAAGGGCTATATTGTGACTAAGAAAACTAAACTGGAAAAAAATATAATTGACAGTTACACAAAAAAATTACAATATGTATTATATGTTATAAATTAAATTAATACAATTTAATAAAATCATGAAAACTACAAGATAATTTTGGAAATAAATAAAAAATTATGAGGGCTTAACTTGAAAAAGCAGTTGTGTATCAGAAAAATTATAATTCATGAGACATATCAGTTCCATAGCTGCTATGAATACGGTGTTCTTGTACTGTACCTTTTAGGGCCTGGTTAATACAGTTTTCATAGTAATGAGTCCCGTAGTAGTCGTCCAGGGACACTTCCCCTCGTTCCAAGACCTCGTTTTCTGTGACGTAGAGAGACGGGTTTCCATACTCATCCTTGATGAATTTCAGAATTTTCCGGAATCCTAATAAAGTGATCTTAAGCTAAAATGAGCCGGTCTCAATCAGAGATGACTGTCGTACCCCTGGAACACAGGTTAAAGGGGACGTTTTACAACTTGATGTTAGATGGTTCCTCACCCTGAGAGTAATCTTTAGGCCAGCAGAAACTGTAATCCATGCTTCGGTTTTCTTTAAACAGCCACTACAAACTTCAGCTAACTTTAGCCACCACTAGTTAACAATAAAAGGAAATGACAGGGACAACCTAGTAATAAAAATAATAATGGCCAAATCAGCTCAAATTTAACTCAATATGGAAGATCTCAATATCTTAATGAAAGATATTCAATGCACTATGGATAAAGAACTGGTTATCTTCAACAATGTAGACATACAGTATTTCAATTCATATTCCATTTCCTTGTGGACCCCAGGAAGACTAGCTGCTGCTTTCGCAACAGCTAATGGGGATCCTAATAAAATACCAAATCTCAATGACTTATCTCATATACTGTAAATATTCTGCTTTTCATCACTTCGTCATCCCCTGCCATGATATACACACATTATGTATCTACACAGCAAAATTGCAAGTTTTAAAATCAACCCTAATAGTGTTACATTTTTCATTCAGTGTCTATATTGTCCCACACTACACCGAGCTAATGTTACACTATTGAAAGTGTTTCTGTAACTGTATTTTTTATTTTTATTTTACACTGTTTTTGTTGCATTCACTGGTTTAAAGTATTAAAATAACTAATGTTATACTAAATTAACTCTCTCTCTCTCTGTACAGTTTTTACTCTAATAGAGTTGACTACCTTTTAACACTGTGGATGTTTAAACTTAAATTGTACTTCTATTCTACTCTGACCTCTCTTTGTCTTTAACAAGTTTGTGTTTTATGTTCTGTTTGGTGCTCAACCCACATTGGTATGTGGGCTGTAATAATCAAATAATTTGTCAATTTTTTTATGTAATTCAGCTTTCTATTGAATATGTCTTCGACCAGAGCTTACTTATCTCCCTCATAGTCCTGTTGCATTCCTAGGTCATTAGGGAATGCCAGAACAGAACAGCAGTGGTTGAACCCAAAGGAATCATGGGTGCTTTTGATCCTCTGGATCTCTGCAGGGGTAAACTCAGGAAGCCTGTAAAAACAGATGTTATTGGTGGGTAATGCAAATACAGAGCAGTATATTATGTGTAATTTTTTTGTCATGGTTGTAGAGGGTAACCTGGAGAGTATGGATAAAAATATAAAAAGGGGTTAGCCGAGTGGAATTAAGAATGTCACACCCTAACCTCAGGAGTGCTTGGAATGTTCCATTACACACATCATTTTCAAGGTATAAAACCGAAATAGTGTGTGTCTCTGTAATGTAGTAATCGTTTGCGAACAGTTCTAAGGGACTCGCTAGCGTGCGAGAATGGTATTGTAAAAAGGCAGTCATGCACTAAAACAAGTTCAAGTGCAGCGCTGTCTCACTACTATTGTTAGCTAATTATGTGGAGGTATACTGTAAGTATTAGCATTATATAACAAAGGGTACCCCACAGAATATTACAGTCCTAAAATATCACTATTGACCATGGAAATATGCCTGGCTCACCTGAGGCTGGATGTTGGCAGCAAGCAGTGCATCCAGCAATCTTTGGTAGTAGTTGAGGCCGGCTTCATTTATGAATTTGTTGGTGCCATCAGGCAGCACCCTGGTACAGCATATGGAGAAGTGGTAGTGTGACGCTTTCAACATCTTCAATACCTCCACATCCTCATCGATCTTATTGTAGCTGTCACAAGCGATGTCCCCGCTGTCAACTCTAAAAGGAGTGTGGGCAAACTTGTCCCATATGCTCAGGCCCTTTCCATGTGCTCTCCAGCTGCCCTCAATCTGGTATTAAGGGAAGAGACATTATGACATAATGTGTAAATCATTATACTTGACAAGTAAAATGTGTATTACTACCAGTTAGGTATGAAATAAACCAAGAAGGGCCTGTGTTGTCATGTCAATAGGACATACATTTTCATACTATTGTTTTTAATACTTTTTGTTGATTCCCAGCACCATCGTTTTCTAAAAGTTAATATTAATTTCTGTTTTCAAGTTTGTTCTCAATAAAACTACTGGTAAATGAAACATGCAGTAGTAAAATATGGTCACAGCCACCTGGTAAGAAGCATTAAGGTGCAATATGCAGAAATCGCTCTGCCATTTCCTGGTTGCTCAAATTCAGTTAGTCTAATTTCAGTTTATGTGGCAAAACAAGCAATAGTGTAGAGAATCATTGTACCATTGAAACCGCTGGGAAATACACTGCTCAAAAAAATAAAGGGAACACTTAAACAACACAATGTAACTCCAAGTCAATCACACTTCTGTGAAATCAAACTGTCCACTTAGGAAGCAACACTGATTGACAATACATTTCACATGCTGTTGTGCAAATGGAATAGACAACAGGTAGAAATTATAGGCAATTAGCAAGACACCCCCAATAAAGGACTGGTTTTGCAGGTGGTGACCACAGACCACTTCTCAGTTCCTATGCTTCCTGACTGATGTTTTGGTCACTTTTGAATGCTGGCGGTGTTTTCACTCCAGTGGTAGCATGAGACGGAGACTCAGGTAGTGGCTCAGGTAGTGCAGCTCATCCAGGATGGCACATCAATGCGAGTTGTGGCAAGAAGGTTTGCTGTGTCTGTCAGCGTAGTGTCCAGAGCATGGAGGCGCTACCAGGAGACAGGCCAGTACATCAGGAGACGTGGAGGAGGCCGTAGGAGGGCAACAACCCAGCAGCAGGACTGCTACCTCCGCCTTTGTGCAAGGAGGAGCAGGAGGAGCACTGCCAGAGCCCTGCAAAATGACCTCCAGCAGGCCACAAATGTGCATGTGTCTGCTCAAACGATCAAAAACAGACTCCACGAGGGTGGTTTGAGGGCCCGACGTCCACAGGTGGGGGTTGTGCTTACAGCCCAACACCGTGCAGGACGTTTGGCATTTGCCAGAGAACACCAAGATTGGCAAATTCGCCACTGGCGCCCTGTGCTCTTCACAGATGAAAGCAGGTTCACACTGAGCACATGTGACAGACGTGACAGAGTCTGGAGACGCCGTGGAGAACGTTCTGCTGCCTGCAACATCCTCCAGCATGACCGGTTTGGCGGTGGGTCAGTCATGGTGTGGGGTGGCATTTCTTTGGGGGGCCGCACAGCCCTCCATGTGCTCGCCAGAGGTAGCCTGACTGCCATTAGGTACCGAGATGAGATCCTCAGACCCCTTGTAAGACCATATGCTGGTGCAGTTGGCCCTGGGTTCCTCCTAATACAAGTCAATGCTAGACCTCATGTGGCTGGAGTGTGTCAGCAGTTCCTGCAAGAGGAAGGCATTGATGCTATGGACTGGCCCGCCCGTTCCCCAGACCTGAATCCAATTGAGCACATCTGGGACATCATGTCTCGCTCCATCCACCAACGCCACGTTGCACCACAGACTGTCCAGGAGTTGGCGGATGCTTTAGTCCAGGTCTGGGAGGAGATCCCTCAGGAGACCATCCGCCACCTCATCAGGAGCATGCCCAGGCGTTGTAGGGAGGTCATACAGGCACGTGGAGGCCACACACACTACTGAGCCTAATTTTGACTTGTTTTAAGGACATTACATCAAAGTTGGATCAGCCTGTAATGTGGTTTTCCACTTTAATTTCTTGGGTGACTCCAAATCCAGACCTCCATGGGTTGATACATTTGATTTCCATTGATAATGTTTGTGTGATTTTGTTGTCAGCACATTCAACTATGTAAAGAAAAAAGTATTTAATAAGATTATTTCATTCATTCAGATCTAGGATGTGTTATTTTAGTGTTCCCTTTATTTCTTTGAGCAGTGTATATTTTCAATAAGGAAAAATATTGTATTTTCAGCTGTTTAAAGCTGGTGTACAAAACCGAAAGTTAAAGACGCAAAAACGAAGAACAGATCTACCTCTTCTTAGACGATTAATTGACAGTAGCAACTGACATTGCTACTGTATGTGAATTTGGTTGGGTCGCCCAAAAAGTTGCATACTGTATTGCAGCTTTAATAGACAAATAACAAAGAGAGTTACAAACCTCTCTGCCAATAACAGCTAGTTTTAAGGTTTCCCCTCCCCACTCAGACCACTCCCGGACAGTCCTAACAAAATTATTGTTTTTGCAAAAAAACTATTTTTGCCCAGTTTAATGAAAATCTATTACGGTAAGGTACTTAATTGTTACCCAGAAATGATTAGATATTGATATAAAAAAGTAACACGACTCAGGATATGACCCAGATGCAGACACAGGAGACGGAAAGTTCAATAAACAGAGTTGTTTATTAAAACCACAGGAGGCAGGCAAGGGGCAGGTCGAGGACAGGCAGAGGTTCGTAACCAGGTCCGAGTCTGATAGGTAAAGGGCAGCAGGCAGGCTCAGAGTCAGGACAGGCAGAAGTTCGTAAACCAGGTCAGAGTCAGATAGATACAGGACGGCAGGCATGCTCGGGGTCAGGGCAGGCAGAATAGGTCGGAACCGGGAGAACTAGATAACAGGGACTAGAGCAAACAGGAGTACGGGAAAAACACGCTGGTAGGCTTGAAAAGACAAGACGAACTCGCAACAAACAAACAGAAAACACAGGTATAAATGCACAGGGGATAATGGGGGAAATGGGCGACACCTGGAGGGGGGGGGGGGGGGGGGGGGGGGGACAAGCACAAGACAGGTGAAACAGATTAGGGTGTGACAAAAACGGCTGCATTGGGCCTTTAAGTTAATATTAGCCAAGAAATGTTAGCTAGCTAAGGCATTTAATAATGACCTAACTTAATTAAATGGAATGTCAGCTAAGCAGTTAGTTACTTTATTAGCAACTAATTACACCCAGAACTGATCAATCAGCTAAAGGACGACTATGAAATGTAAACCACAGCTTTCAATATTTGAAAACTAGCAAGTCCTCAGTGGCAGTGGATAGCAGCATATAGATAGTGATACTTGGCTAATATTTAATTGCTAAGTGTCTTTACTATGCTAGCTACTAGCTAGATAGCTTCGTAGACTCTCAACCAAGGGATCTACAGTATTACTTTAACTAGCTAAAGATATGGTAAGGCTCTATGGAAATACATATATATTTTTTACACATATTTAACCCCTTATTTTTGTTGGCACAAAACTACCTCCATACTTCCATTCATTTGTATGGGTTACCTTTAGAAGAGTCCCCTGACACTTGTGATAATAATATAATAATAATAATATAATAATATATAATATATAATAATATGCCATTTAGCATACCCACTTGTGTGGGTCGTAGAGCAAAACGGAGAACACCATTGCGTTCGTGAGAGTCATATTAATCATATTCAGATGCTGCTGACGTTTTCGTGAGAAGACCAATTTTCATGATGTCTCCTGGTCTGTAGCTCTGACACTTTCCACCGCAGATGCGGAAGGACAACATAGGCAGATGCGGTGGATTGAGACGCAGCCCATGCAACAAACCAGATATCTGTAGCTTAAACTGACAGATTTTGATGGGGATTTTGTATTATGTTACTTAGATTGACGCACTGATGCGTCAATAGACTCTAGGGGTTATCTCTCAGAGCGCTAAGCATTGCCTTCAGAAAGTATTCAGACCCCTTGACTTTTTCCACATTTTCTTACGTTACAGCCTTAAATTATATATTCTCAGCAATCTACAGACAACACCCCATAATGACAAAGCAAAAACAGTTTTTTTTTTAAAAAAATGTGCAAATGTATTAAAAATAAAAAACAGAAATACCTTATTTACATTAATATTTATGAGACTTGAAATTGAGCTCAGGTGCATCCTGTTTCCATTAAGCATCCTTGAGATGTTTTTACAACTTGGAGTCCACCTGTGGTAAATTCAATTGATTGGACATGATTTGGAAAGGCACACACCTGTCTATATAAGGTCCCACAGTTGACAGTGCATGTCAGAGCGAAAACCAAGCCATGAGGTCGAAGGAATTGTCCGTAGACATTCCAAGACAGGATTATGTCGAGGCACAGATCTGGGGAAGGGTACCAAAATATGTCAGCAGCATTGAAGGTCCCCAAGAACACAGTGGCCTCCATCATTATTAAATGGAAGAAGTTAGGTACCACCAAGATTATTCCTAGAGCTGGCCATCTGGCCAAACTGAGCAATCGGGGGAGAAGGGCATTGGTCAGGGAGGTGACCAAGAACCTGATGGTCACTCTGACAGAGCTCTAGAGTTCCTCTGTGGAGATGGGAGAACCTTCCAGAAGGACAACCATCTCTGCAGCACTCCACCAATCAGGTCTTTATGGTAGAGTTGCCAGAAGGATGCCACTCCTCAGTAAAAGTCACATGACAGCCCGCTTGGAGCTTGCCAAAAGGCACCTAAAGGACTCTCAGACCATGAGAAACAAGATTCTCTGGTCTGATGAAACGAAGATTTAACTCTTTGGCCTCAATGCCAAGCGTCACGTCTGGAGGAAACCTGGCACCATCCCTACGGTGAAGCATGGTGGTGGCAGCATCATGCTGTGGGGATGTTTTTCAGCGGCAAGGACTGGGAGACTAGTCAGGATTGAGGGAAAGATGCACGGAGAAAAGTACAGAGATCCTTGATGAAAACCTACTCAAGTGCTCAGGACCTCAGACTGGGGCGAAGGTTCACCTTCCAACAGGACAACGACCCTAAGCACACAGCCAAGACAATGCAGGAGTGGCTTCAGGACAGGTCTCTGAATGTCCTTGAGTGGCCCAGGGAGAGCCCGGACTTGAACCCGATCGAACATCTCTGGAGAGACCTGAAAATAGCTGTGCAGCGACGCTCCCCATCCAACCTGACAGAGCTTGAGAACATCTGCAGAGGAGAATGGGAGAAACTCCACAAATACAAGCTTGTAACGTCATACCCAAGAAGTCTTGAGGCTGTAATCGCTGCCAAAGGTGCTTCAACAAAGTACTGAGTTAAGGGTCTGAATACTTATGTAAATGTAATATTTAAGTTTTGTAGTTTTAATATTTCAGTCTTCTGTGATGTATATAAAGTGTGATATTGGGATGCTAACTCAAAATTATTGAATACATTTCAACTCTATATCTGACATGGTACAGGTGTCTACTTTTTTGTAAGACCATAACTATGTGTGTGAGGTGTATACTTTTGTTTCAAAGTAGATTGGTTTAAGACTACCAAGAAACACTCCGTGTGACCCTGATTTAGCCCACTGCAGTAAATTAAAGTTAGTCAAGGGACAACATTCACAATACTTCATTTGAAAGTTAACTAGTTTGTAGTCAGTAATCAACAATTGGTGAATCTCAATTCTTTAGAGTAGTTCATTCATCTGGTAGGAGTCCTTTATTCCAGTGGGATGCTGACCCGTAACCGTACCCAGCATGGCTGACCACCCAGGGGCTACTGAAGGTCCTAAACCTATCTCCAAACCTGGAGAGGCAGAAGTCTGCATAGCCTTTGAAGGCTTCTGCAATGGAAACATTGGTCCAGTCTCCATATTCCTGGAGTGCCTGAGGAAGATCTCAGTGGTGCAGGGTCACAGCAGGTTCTATGCCCGCTCTATCAACGCGTTGATCAGGCTGTCATAGTAATGTGCTCCTTCTTCAGAGTGGCTCCCCTGATGGCCGGAGGGGATAATGCGAGCCCAGGAGCTAGAGAACTGTTAGGTTTTGACGAGGAGATCCCTAAGGAGGTAGACGTCATTGTCCACTTTGTGGTAACTGTCACAAGCCAGGTCTGCAGTCTGATTATCAAAAGCTTTGTTCTTATGGCCAAAGCGGTCCCAAATGGTCTCGCCCTTCCCATCCTCAGACCAGCCGCCCTTAACCTTGAAGGACTCACTGGAAGTGGCTCACTGGAAGCCATCAGGAAAAGACGCCCTTGGGAGGATGTTCCGCTCGGATGAAGACAGGAGGCCAAACTAATTCCAGACTTTTTGGTAGGTTGAGGAAGGAGTTATGATACTCCTCTACAGATTGTAAGTGTCTAGCACTGCATCATCTGCCTGGTATGGAAGACTTTTTGCCGGTGAATTTTAGCACACTATCTCACAGCCCTTCAGAGACAAACTATAACTTTCTAACTCCTGCAGCAGGCTCCCCTCCCCCACTGGAGCCAAGCAGGCCAGGGGGGTCGTTATCTTGCCTTTCACACCTAGGACCCTGGCCACCGATTGGTTGCCAGGGGTCATTGTTGCCAGGGGCCTTATCACACCGTGGGGTCAGCCAATCACACGCAGTTAACTTGGGTCCCAGATTCCCAACTCCTGCCTCACACTCTCAGTCTCCCTCATGCAGTGACAGAGAGCAACATATCTGTCTCTGCCCATCAACAACTGGACTCAATCATATCTCTGGGATGGTGTGCATGTATAAAGTGTTTTATTTTACAGCTTATACAACACAGAGTGGCTTTACAAGATCATTATTTTTATTGCTCCCCATGTGTACCCAGCAGGTCAGTGTCTTATGGCAGTAAACAGAGATAATAAACAGGCAGATAAGAATTTTGTAATTCAAAGTACCACGTGTTTATGTCTGATTGTGGACAGCGGTTACCTTTCAGGACATTGGCGAGTGGCTTGAATTGGTTGAAGAAACAGCCCTTGATATCCATCTCATATAAGATAATGGGAATATTCTTCGCCTGCCTGTTTTGTGTGTGACAGCGTATGTAGTGTGTGTGTGTATGGGTATGTTGGAGTGTCAGATTAAGTATATGTTGTGTGTGGGTAGAGTCCAGTGAGTGTGCATAGAGTCAGTGCAAGAGAGTCAGTGCAAATAGTCCAGGTAGCCGGACAACATTAATGGACAAATATAATGTCCAATATAAAGACAAAACAGAAAAAAGCATTGGTTATAGGCTACTGATTAGGCTACTGCCATAACCAATTGCATACCGCTAAGATCTGCTTTTGGTGAGTCTTAACTATCACTAGTAGCGCTGCTTGAAATTGGCACATTGGTCAAATATTTCTACCCCTTCCACGACACACTTAAAATAGTGAGCTGATATAAGACAGTTAAATTACCAAGACTGGTGCCAGGGTTGGAACATACAGTTGAAGTCGGAAGTTTACATACACATTAGCCAGATACATTTAAACTCAGTTTTTCACAATTCCTGACATTTAATCCTAGTAAGAATTCCCTGTTTTAGGTCAGTTAGAATCACCACTTTATATTAAGAATGTGAAATGTCAGAATAATAGTAGAGAGAATTATTTATTTCAGCTTTTATTTATTTCATCACATTCCCAGTGGGTCAGAAGTTTACATACACTCAATTAGTATTTGGTAGCATTGCCTTTAAATTGTTTAACTTGGGTCAAACGTTTCGGGTAGCCTTCCACAAGCTTCCCACAATAAGTTGGGTGAATTTTGGCCCATTCCTCCTGACAGAGCTGGTGTAACTGAGTCAGGTTTGTAGGCCTCCTTGCTCGCACACACTTTTTCAGTTCTACCCACAAATGTTCTATAGGATTGAGGTCAGGGCTTTGTGATGGCCACTCCAATACCTTGACTTTGTTGTCCTTAAGCCATTTTGCCACAGCTTTGGAAGTATGCTTGTGGTCATTGTCCAGAGGACATTTCTCCAAAAAGTACAATCTTTGTCCCCATGTGCAGTTGCAAACCGTAGTCTGGCTTTTTTATGGCGTTTTTGGAGCAGTGGCTTCTTCCTTGCTGAGCGGCCTTTCAGGTTACGTCAATATAGGACTCGTTTTACTGTGGATATAGATACTTTTGTACCTGTTTCCTCCAGCAACTTCACAAGGTCCTTTGCTGTTGTTCTGGGATTGATTTGCACTTTTCGCACCAAAGTACGTTCATCTCTAGGAGACAGAACGCGTCTCCTTCCTGAGCAGTATGACGGCTGCATGTTCCCATGGTGTTTATACTTGCGTACTACTGTTTGTACAGATGAACGTGGTACCTTCAGGCGTTTGGAAATTGCTCCCAAGGATGAACCAGACTTGTGGAGGTCTACAATTTTTTTTCTGAGGTCTTGGCTGATTTCTTTCGATTTTCCCATGATATCAAGCAAAGAGGCACTGAGTTTGAAGGTAGGCCTTGAAATACATCCACAGGTACACCTCCAATTGACTCAAATGATGTCAATTAGCCTATCAGAAGCTTCTAAAGCCATGACATCATTTTCTGGAATTTTCCAAGCTGTTTAAAGGCACAGTCAACTTAGTGTATGTAAACTTCTGACCCAATGGAATTGTGATACAGTGAATTATAAGTGAAATAATCTGTCTGTAAACAATTGTTGGAAAAATTACTTGTGTCATGCACAAAGTAGATGTCCTAACCGACTTGCCAGAACTATAGTTTGTTAACGAGAAATGTGTGGAGTGGTTGAAAAACTAGTTTTAATGACTCCAACCTAAGTGTATGTAAACTTCCGACTTCAACTGTAGCAGAGTGCTGGCTTTTACAAGTCAAAATTGCCAAAGAGCGTGCCACCTTAACGGCAGCCGAAAATAGAGCCCTGTGTGTATAATTCATTACATTTTACAAAATGTATGACCTGATTTTCTGTTCAAGAGAGATGCTCACAGGAATATACATGTATTTAAGATTGCACCTTGCAAATAAATAGCATTGCACTGTAAATATTCATGTTATCCTGTTAACATCCTAAGTATGACACATGTATCAGTCATCTCTTTGAATTCTAAAATGTGATCAAAGGAAATAGGTGATACATTTGTTGCATTGATAAAGTTAAAAAAAATAACCCTATATATATGTTTCTCTTTTATTTATTTATTTGGCCATGTGTCCTTCATACTCTTTCAATATTCAGCTCTTACAGTACCTTTGCCAGGAAACAAGCGATGGAAGAGATTGTACACATTGGTGTGGGCATGGAGGGCATGTTTTAGCAGCAGCTTCCCTGCATCCCTCAGCTCTTCAAGATGGCTCCGCATCACCCAGGAGTGTGCCAGTTCTCCATACGTCAAAACAACTAATTCAGCATATTGCTCAAAGACCTCTGGCAGCTCTGGGCTTTCCTAGCCCCCATATCTGGATCTAAGGGCCTCTGTTAAAGAAGCAGAGCGATGTAAGACCATAAGGGGTTTGAGGCCTACTTCCACTAGCTGCTCCAGGAAGGTCTGATAGCAGGACAATGTACGCTGACTGGACTGGCTGGGGTCACCTGTAAGTAAGAGGTGAGCCCAGGACAGGGGCACTTTAAAATGAGTTACTCCTTGACTCTGAAGGTACTAGAAGTAGTCCCTGGAGCCCATGGGAAGGGGATGACTGCAGTCAAAATAATCAATCCCTGATGGAATTGCTGAGTGCTTGGTGCTTAGGTCCCTTACTAAGTGATTGCATGAAGTCTTGTGGGTACAGAAGCATGAAGTCTTGTGGGTCATCCTCCTCTTGCCAACCGTAGAGACACAGCACATACAGAGAGAGAATCCTCCCTAGGGATCCCATCTTGGTTATGGTGGAAGTCCACACAGTATAAGCCATTTATTATGGTGTTTTTTACTAACTTGAACTCTCTCACACACACAGACCCTGAGCGTTTCATAATCATGACATTGATGTGATGGTTTATGGTGCTTGTAATGATGGTCACAACCTTGAGTGGCTCTGATAAAGTCAAAGGGTTCACACAGAAGGCAGAAGGGCCTAACAAGGAAATATCTGTGCAGAGGTAAAAATAATAGACTTTCAGCACTACTACATTGTAAACACACTTTATTTAATTAATTAGAACTTCTAGCATTTATAATGTCTAAAGCATTAAAAATTTATAAGCATTTACAATGGATTATTTCTTTAAAGTTATTATAAAGTGTTACAGATTAATGTAGCCTAATTTCAAGACAATACCCTCTGTTTTAAAATCATCATTGTAAATTGACATCATGTATAACTTGTATACCGTTGTAAAGTATGGAAATGTTTAATATCACTATTTTGCAGACAGAAATGTCACCCGTTATATATAGCTTCGAATAATGGTGCAACTGATAAGTGTCTCTCTGTCACGCCCTGGCTCTGGGGACTCTTATATGTTGAGCCAGGGTGTGTAGGGTCTATGTTTTGTGTTCTATGTTCAGTTTCTAGTTCATGTGTTTTCTATGTTGGCCGGGGTGGTTCTCAATCAGAGGCAACGAGAATCAGCTGTTGCTTGTTGTCTCTGATTGGGAACCATACTTAGGCAGCCTGTTGTGCACTTGTGTTTTGTGGGATCTTGTTCCGTGTTGGTTTGTGTTCATGACCGAGGACTTCACGTTTCGTTTTGTTGTTTTGTATTTTGTATTCGTGTTGCCAGTACACTATTAAAAAGATGTACGCATCTCACGCTGCGCCTTGGTCCAATCATTATGACGATCGTGACACTCTCTCAGAGTTTAATTGTCTGATATTAACGACATTTCATAGATATCAAGGACTGCAACATTTCCATTATGCATATCTCACTTCACCTTTAAGAGGTGGTGGGAGGGGGGCCCTAGGACTTTGCACTATGTCACTAACTATAATGCCTTCTCATTGCATTGAAGAAAATGAGTATACACTGTGACCTAAAAGCAGTAAACACTGCATTGTAAACCTTTGTTCTAACCCAAAGACCAGAGGATCTGATGCAACAGCTTCCTCTATTGGACAACTAATGACAATAATAATAATCACAGACTGTATTTCTCAAAATAACAAGCGATGGCACTGTTTGGGGATGATGATGATTTATTTTACAATTTAAAAACACAATTCAACCACACGTGGATAATACATTTAAAAATATAAAAGTTTCCATTGTGGTCCTCTTTGATGCAGATGGAGATTGAAAAGTCTCTCTATGGCCTGTGGTGCAGACAATAGCGACAAGTCAGGTATATAATCAACATCGCATTGTCATATTCCACAAATAGACAGGTACTTTTCAAGTACAGTATTTACAGATTGTATAGAAACTATGGGGCCATACTTCCGAACATTATAAAAAGTTTTAGTTTAAGTTTAAGCACCAGACAATTAAAATCATTGAAGTAGTTACACGTGATCTGTTCCCGTCACATAACCTGGTACATTTAGCCCTATGCTAATCTCAGCAGGTGGCCGTGATTATATAAGGTCACATTTTAGCAAATGTCTTAAAAATGAAATACAGAAATATCTAATTTACATAAGTATTTACACCCCTGAGTCAATACTTTGTAGAAGCACCTTCGGCAGCGATTACAGCTGTGAGTCATTCTGGGTAAGTCGCTAAGAACTTTGTACACCTGGATTGTACAATATTTGTACATTATTCATTTATAAATTCTTCAAGCTCTGTCAAGTTGGTTGTTGATCATTGCTAGACAGCCATTTTCAAGTCTTTCCATAGATTTTCAAGCCGGTTTAAGTAAAAACTGTAACTAGGCCACTCAGGAACATTCAATGTCGTCTTGGTAAGCAACTCCAGTGTATATTTGGCCTTGCGTTTTAGGTTATTGTCCTGCTGTAAGGTGAATTTGTCTCCCAGTGTCTGTTGGAAAGCAGACTGAACCAGGTTTTCCTCTAGGATTTTGGCTGTACTTAGCTCTATTCCGTTTATCTTCATCCTAATTGACCGATGACAAGGATACCCATAACATGATGCAGCCACCGCCATGCTTGAAAATATGAAGAGTGGTACTCAGTGATGTGTTGAATATGCCCCCAATATAACGCTTTGTATTCAGGACATAAAGTTCATTTCTTTGCAGTTTTACTTTAGTGCCTTATTGCAAACAGGATGTATGTTTTGGAATATTTTTTATTCTGTACAGGCTTCCTTCTTTTCACTGTGTCAATTAGATAAGTATTGTGGAGTAACTACAATGTTGTTGATCCATCCTCAGTTTTCTCCTATCACAGCCATTAAACTCTGTAACTGTATTAAAGTCAACATTGGCCTCATGGTTAAATCCCTGAGCAACTGAGTTAGGAAAGACACCTGTATCTTTGTAGTGACTGGGTGTATTGATTACACCATCCAAAGTGTAATTAATAACTTCACCATGTTTAAAGGGATATTACATGTCTGCTTTTAACATTTTTACCCATCACCAATAGGTGCCCTTCTTTGCGAGGCATTGGAAAACCTCCCTGGTCTTTGTGGTTGAATCTGTGTTTGAAATTCACTGCTTGACTGAGGGACCTTACAGATAATTGTATGTGTGGGGTACAGAGATGAGGTAGTCGTTCAAAAATCATGTTATTGATGTTAAACACTATCATTGCACACAGAGTGAGTCCATGCAACTTATTATGAGACTTGTTAAGCACATTTTTACTCCTGAACTTATTTAGGCTTGCCATAACAAAGGGGTTGAATACTTATTGACTCAAGACATTTCAGCTTTTCATTTTGAATTCATTTCTAAACATTTCTAAAAATATAATTCCACTTTGACTTTATGGGGTATTGTGTGTAGTACAGTGACACAAAATCTACATTTTATCCATTTAAAGTTCATGCTGTAACACAACAAAATGTGGAAAAAGTAAAGGGGTGTGAATACTTTAAGGCACCGTATGAACATAAAACGTAATGATACCCTTTTGTTTACAAAAACCAATGCAAAGTTCAAAATGGGGAAACTCCTCATTAAATAACCTTTAATAAAACTCCTTCCAATCACTTTCTGTTAGTTTGAAGATTGTGTCTTATCTTTTATGGTTCGCCGGTGTGATATGGTGTGTGTGTAAAACAGACAGATTCACCAACTTGTAACGTGTTTTTCCTATCTGAAATGCACTGTGTGGAACAGTGAGATTGACAGTGTTTACATTTTTACATTTTTAGTCATTTAGCAGATGCTCTTATCCAGAGCGACTTACAATTAGTGAGTGCATACATTTTCATACTGTTCTCACATTACCTTCAGCTCAGGATTCAAACACTCTAGAGGCCCTAGTGCTGGTTCAGGAAAGCCATTGCAGGTGATGATGGTGGCATAGCCAGCAGCAGAATTCTTGGCTACTCATGGAAGTTTGGGGTCAGAACAATTCACATAGAACAGGCCGAATCTCTCTAAGCCAGTGGCCCACTCTAGTTTGTCCATCAGAGACCAGGCTGTGTAGCCTCGAATATCCACCCCATCCAGAAACTAAACTGAAAAGAGACAAAAACAAATCCTAGTGACTACACAAAAAAAATTAAATAGATTCTGTAAAGGTTCCCAAAACATTGAATTAGGTTGTGGGGAATGGTTTCACTTGTAAATTACATAAAACATTTCATATTATCAATATAGAAAATACGGAAATGTTATTGTGGCCTGGTACCTTTTGAGGACTTGAATGATGTAATTCTCATAGTAGTGGATCCTGTTAACATCGTCCACTGGCCCTCGCGCCGAGTGTACTCCTCCTTAATGAAGTTAAGGATATTGCGAAATACAAATGGATATACCTTCAGCCAGCCGGAGCCCGAGTCCAGCCAGCTTCGATCAGTATGAGGCGCCGATGTGGACAAAAGCTGGACGAATGCAGATTGATTTGTTGAGCATCACCTGTTTAGCAAAAAAAATATATATATATGTGTTGCCTGTTTTGCATGTTATTTTGACATTAATACATGTCACATGTCAGTTTGCAAACAATGTAAAAAAATATATAATTGAATTAATAAGGCCTCATACAAACATGGTCTCTTTTTTGCTTTCTTGCATAAGGCAGCTCCAAAATGCAGGTGTTTCAGCCTAGCTCAGTGCTTTCTGTGGTGGTGGGGCAGCCAGCGGAAAATACGGAGCGTAGGGGTTGGTAATGTTCTCTAGTTGCGCCGTGATTGACTCAGTGTTCTGTCACTCATGGGGACACTACGTTACCACAAAATCTATGGAGAGAGCTCGGAAATTCAAGCCCCTTGGGTGCTGCCATAGAGTTACATTAGAAGTGCCCATCCAAGAAGGCTCAAGGTCATTGGCCACAGATAAAATGACGTCAAATCACGGTATATCTACCGTAGCTTTGATTGGACTGATCATGTCAACATCATATTTTCAAAATCTTAGCTAGCAAGCTAGCAGTCATCATCATGAATCAAGTCGACAATCTACTGGCAAATCCTTTTCAATCCTTCTCATATATCCTTGTGGACATTCAACAAGCACAGCACTTACACAAATGACTGATGATTGGCTGAGAGAAATGTATGACTGAAATGACTGCAACACTTAACAAAGAGCTGCAGTTAGTTTCAGAATGGGTGGCAAGGAATAAGTTAGTCCTAAATATTTCAAAAACTAAAAGCATTGTATTTGGGACAAATCATTCACTAAACCCTAAACCTCAACTAAATCTTGTAATGAATAATGTGGAAATTAAGCAAGTTGAGGTGACTAAACTGCTTGGAGTAACCCTGGATTGTAAACTGTCATGGTCAAAACATAGAGATACAACAGTAGCTAAGATGGGGAGAATTCTGTCCATAATAAAGCACTGTTCTGCCTTCT